CTACAAAGTGAACTCAAAGCCAGCCTGAACTGCATAGTGAGACCTGTCTCAAAAAACAAACAGCAACAACAAAAACATTTTAAAGAGGAAATGACAACAGTAGCTTGTTTGAGGGGAAAATACTGAGGCTACGACAACTGTGTAAGAGTTTTTACACAGTTTTCCAACTGTGTAAGAGGCCACTTCTATCTCTAATACAAACAAAGGCTGTATGAGATGAGGACTAGAGTACTCAGTTTTAAAGTCACCAGTGTTTCCTGTCTGCAGCATTGGAAGGGGATACCTACTCCACACTTTGCATGTTTCTGTGTGCAAGAACTTACATTAAAGTGATCCTGCTAGCTTCAGTGTGATCCTCCTTCCCACCTCTCCAAGGGAGGCAGAGTAACTGATCCTATTGATGACTTTCAGAAGAGACTGGGCATGGGTGGCTCAGCCACTTCTGTCCTCTCTTTTCAGATCTGCCTGCCTGCAGAGAGCATGCCTTCTGGTCTGCTCTCTCAGCCGTGCAGTAAATTTAGCGAGGCAGGCTCTGCTTCTGGGGCGGGAGGCTGGTGGCTGGCCAGAGCAGTCTGACTGGACAGGTAAGTGATTCTGGGTATAGTGTACCTAAGGCATGTGGAGTGCTATGCTGATAAGCAAGCCTGTTGTTAGCCTCTCACCAGATCCTGAATTTGGTCAGTGAATAGTGAGGTACTGTGTACTAACCCCATTAAACCCCAGTATTAAGGATGGAAATATTAGACAGTCTGTCCTTTGAGAAGGTAGAGGGGTGGCATTATGTGTTTGTGTAAAAAGTTGAACTTTTGGTATCATAGAAGACATTAGTTGCTTGGATAAAAGTGGGTGAGGAAGTTTTTTTATCACTGATTTTTCAAACCACGTTAATGTATCATTTTGATTTTTTAAATTAAATTAAAAAACAAGGGACAACTGATACCCCATTCGTGAGAAGCGGTGAAAGTTCTGTCGGCTTTATTGAGAACAGTACAACCTTGACCTTCAGAGACTCGTGATACGCACAGGCTGAGTGAGTCTACTGTGCGACAAACTTAGGAGAATTGTCAAACGCTATAGTGGATGTTTGATTACTGACAAATGTCTGTTACCAGATTTGTTAAAGAGTTTTCTCTGAAGTGACTGCTCTAACAGAAAAAAAAAGTGCTGGTTATCTGGTTTGCAAATAATAACCCAAACATTCCTTTTTCTTTCCTCAAAATGTTAGCACAGAAGGCAAAAATTTTGCAAAATTTTACTGACTCTTTGCTTTGGAAATTGAACACAGTTTTATGTGTTAAAGTCATCCAGTGATCACTTTGGGTTTGGAATGATGCATCCTTGGCTGACCACATGTTCATTTTTATGAATGTTTTGAGTGTATTTGAAAAGCATGTACTTTTGTTTATAGCATCTGGTGTTTAATTACGTATTTAAATCTTTCACATTTTTTCATTGCCTGTCTTATTTATTGCCATTCTTATTTATTCGGTCCCCTTAGTAGCTTCTTGCTTTCATTTTTTTCTTATACAGATTTTTGCATTAAGAATGCTGATGTTACATTTGTGACAGTTTCTTAACTATTGTATTCAAGTTGTAGATTACATATTTTATTAGTTTAACTGTCCCCGTGCTCTATTTTAATGTCTTTATACTAAATCTGACTTCAGTGGATGTTATGCACTTAGATATTATACTCTGTAAGTTTGCCAAATAGATTTTTGTCTGATTTTTTAGTATCATTTTATTTTCAAATTGTTAAGACAATTTTAATGCTGCTATTGCCCAAATGCCAACAGAGTTTTTTTGTAGATATGGGTAAGATTATTCTAAAATGTATAAAGACAAAAGAATTAGAATAATGAAGACAATTTTGAAAAAAACACTGTGGAAGGAATCACTGTACTTGATTTTAGGACTGGCTATATTCTCTCCCTTTTTTTTTTTTTTAATAGTGTTTTGAGACAAACTTTTTCTGTGCAGTTTAGGTTGGTCTTGAACTCGGTATGTAGCCGTATCAAACTAATGGCGATCCTCCTGTCTCAGCCTCCTGAGTGCTGGGTTTATAGATGTGCACCACCACACCCAGCTAAGACTTAGCTATTATAACTAACACTATATGGCATTAGGGGGAAGGGACATGTCACAACATCAATGGAACAGAACCCAGAAATAGAGCCACACGAATATGTCCAGCTGTGTTTTTTTCTGTCATTTTGTTTTGAGCGTGTGTTTTGTGAATAAGTAGATTTTTATTTTGTGCCTTAATCTGAGTTTTTTCTTCCTTTGGAAAACTTTTTTTATATGACAGTGTCACATTGCCAGTATTTTAAAATTTCAAAAACGTCTAATGTAAAAAGCAGAAAACAAAGTTCTCTCCTGATATTCCACTCACTTCATACCCAACTGTTTTTCTCAGTAAGCCACTGTTAATTGTGTGTTGTAAATCTGTGCAGTCCTTTCTCTGGGCATTTCAAAGATATACCCCAGCACACACAGACAAAACAAAAATGGGTCAGACTTTTAGTAATATTCTGAAATGTGTTTACTCAGCAACACTGGGCACACATCTTTCAGGTTGTTTTATGAAAATCCATCTTATACCATTATAGATACAGGAATTATTTTACCACAATATGGAAAATGTTCTTGGCTGCAGTTTATTTGGCAAATGCTAAACGCTTCTAAATTTAATCTCATCCACTTTCATGAATACTTCCATAGGATAAATTCCTAGGAATAGATTTTAAGATTTTGACAGAAATTGCTACTTTACCTTTCAATAAGACAGTAACAGTTTACATTCTGCTGATTATAGATGAGGATGTCTTATTTCCTTCATTGTTGCCAACATCACTCTTTTAATTCTTTACATCCTGAAGCAATAAAATCCTTAGATTCTTTTTTTTTTTTTTTTTTTTTGGTTTTTCTCTGGTACCGGGAACCGAACTCACGACCTTGCGCTTGCCAGGCAGGCGCTTTTGCCACTGATCTAAATCCCCAGCCCCAATCCTTAGATTCTTTTAGCTTGTATTTCACTGCTTGAGCATCTTTTCATGGCTTTATTAGATTCTATTTTTTTTCTGAGAAGTTCATATTCATATCTTCCTCTTTTTTGTTGGGTTGCCATTTTAGGTCTTCTCATATATAAGGAATATTAACTGTTAGTTATAGCTGTTATAAATATAATCTGTAATTTATCACTTGTCTTTTACTATAAAAATATTTTAAAATATGGTCTTTGCTCTCCTACCCCAAACAGTTTGGTTCTACTCAGGCCATAAGATAAACATTGCTTATCACAACACTCTATTATATAAAGGATTTGGAATTCTTCTGCTCCTTAAAGTAAATCTGCCAGTTATTGACACATGTCATCTTATTTCTTGTGATCTTATTTAATGCCTCAAATATTCACTGTTAATCAATTATTTAAGTAGACTCTTCCTTTTCACTGAATAGGGAAACTACTAGTGACTCTTTCCTCTAAAGACTTAGGAATACATGAAAAAGTATCTTCAGATCTCATCTAAGAGTACTGGGTATGTAGAAGACATATGAGAAATGGCTTTTTGCTATAGAATCTTAAGTACTTTTGGGATTTTTAAATCATATGAATATATTTAAATTATATGAATATATCTCCTATTTTAAAATTAACCAAAAATTATTGGAGAAAACAGTAATTAGAACCCTCTGACTCCTAAATACAATTCTTCACAAACCTGTATGTTCTATAGAATAATAAAGATAATATAATATTTCACTATATCATTGTATATTTTTTTATCAATTTGTCCTTTATTTCATTAGTGCACTTAAATATTCTGGTCTTTTTTTCCTAATTTATCAGAGAAGAGCAACTTTCACAAAGGTATCAATTTTCTAGAAAACTGAAAGATTTCTATAAAGTGTTTGTTTTGAGATGGTCTCTATGTAGTTCAGGCTGGCCTTGAGCCCATTATGTGATGAGTTGCCCTCAAACTCCTGCAATCCTCCTGCCTCAGCCTCCCAGGTGCTGGAATCACAGGTGTGCCCCTCCATACCTGGCTTTCTATTAAGTTTTTAGCTGATTCCTTTATGTCTTTGGTAAAATGTTTGCTCTGAGGCAAGACCTTTCAGTTTCTTTTTCAATATTTAGGACACAGGGCTGGGGATTTAGCTCAGTGGCACGGCGCCTGCCTGGCAAGTGCAAGGTTGTAAGTTCGATTCCCAGTACTGGGGAAAACCCTCCCCCCCACAAAAAATTTAGGACTCCTCCCTTTCATATCTCACTGCACAAACTTAATTTCTAGAACCTTATCATTATTCATGTTCAATAGTGCTTTTCACAGAAATGCCTGTGTTATTTAACCTTTTATATACTGGAAGATAGGTTTTGTTTTGCCAACAGAATGTTCTTATACTTTTTGAAGAATAATTGAAGTATTTCAGATTTTATCAACTATCCTCTTGATATTTTCTTTTATTTATTTATTTATTTTTTTGTCTTTTAGAGACAGGGTCTCGCTATGCAGCTCAGGCTGACCGTAAGCTCACTTTGTAGCCCAGGCTAGCCTCGAATTTGCAACGATCCTCCTGCCTCCCAAGTGCTGGAATTACAGGCGTGCGCCACCACGCCTGGCCCTCTTGATATTTTAGTAACAACTTATGAGAGATATTGTAGTAGTAGATTTCCTAAGCATGTCTTTTCTGTAGTCCTAGGATCAATTCCTTGTGGTTACTTTTGATTAAAAAAAATTGTGAATATTTTCCTTAAAATCTTTGCATCTATATTCTCATAGAACAGATCGTACTTTTATCTTTATTTTGGGCCTTCAAATCACCTTTGTCTTCTTTGATCATTAGCTGTGTGTCAGTTAATTAATTTCACATATTTTTCTACATTTTCAAAAGTATAATATTGGAATTAACGGTACCTTAAAAGTTTGAAAATAATTCTTCAGTAATCTGAGTGCTTTATTAATGTGTTTGAGTTTTCTTTTACTTATTTTTTTTTCCAGATTTGTAGGAATTTCCAGTGTGTAAATGCATCTGTTCTGAATTATGACTGTGATATTCAGGAGAAGTGTCATGGACGTGGGGTAGGTAATGTTCTCTTTTGGTTTGTTTATGAAAGTAGTGCCAGGTAATGAGAACTCCCCATGAATATTAAATGAGAATTTCAAAGATTTCTGGATTTTATTTTCGTTTCTGTTTTTTTTTCCCTGGTGCCAGGAATTGAACTCACGGCCTCAGGCTTCCCAGGCAGGCGCTGTGCCACTGAGCTAAATTCCCAGCCCCACTGTATTGTTCTGGATTTTAGATGTTGGAGAATTTGCCAATAAAATTTTCATTCTCAAAAAGAGTTTAATGATTTTTGTATTTTAGTCCTTTGTCTTGGTTTCCATTGTGTAGTTGATGAAACAGAGGAAGATTAATGAAGTGATATTTTGAATGTTTTGAAGGTATGTAATAGCAATAAGAATTGTCACTGTGAAAATGGCTGGGCTCCCCCGAATTGTGAGACTAAAGGATACGGAGGAAGCATGGACAGCGGACCTACGTACATTGGCAAGTAATACTGAAGAAAGTGCTGAGATTTCTCAGTGACCCAACACATAACCTGGGTAACCTTGTACCACCCCCTTGTCCCCGCCAAGCAGTTACACATTAAATTGTGTTGGTTATACCTTCCAAATTTTTTGCAGATATTTCTGGATTTTTGCAGTTTTTTGTTTTGGTTTGGTTTTTGTCATACTGGGGATTGAACCCAAGGAGCACTGAAGTATTTCCCCAGCCCTTAAAAAAATTTTGAGATATGCTCTTGTTAAATCATCACTCCCAAGTAGCTGGGATTGCAGGTGTGCAGCACCATGCCTAGCTCATTTCCATTTGTTTAATCCCCATTTCTTCCAGTTTCTTGCCTTGCCTTACAAAATGGCATCATATGTAGGCTCCTCATTTTCCATCTTCCTTCTTATATGCATGTTCCACATTACACTGCACAGTTTTAGTGTTTTCCCTTATGTATTTAATTTTGATTTTGTCAGTGTCCTGCTTTAAATTTAGTGCTTCTGCACTGCTGTTAACATGAATTTCCCAAATCATTAACATAGCTTAAATGCTCTGCATGATTTTCCTGAGCTTATCCTTCCAGCCTTAAACAGGTTGTAACTTCTTTAATTTTCTCTAATAGGTAACTCTCTTTTACTGCAGAGCCCTCAAACCATCTTATTTTCATTTTGTTGGAACTTAGCTAATTGCTGCCCTGGCTTCAGTTTATACCTTACTTCCTATTGGATTTTTTTTTCCCAACTGCCTAAATTTGAACTGATCAGCCATTTTTCTTTGCTTTCCTAGAATTGTTAGTATATCACATACTATAATAATTACTTACTTGTTTTTATACCCTGCTAGACTATGAACTCTTTACAAAGAGTTTAGTACTATGTGTAGTTTCAGATATCTGCTATGGATTAGAGGGGATTGCTTTATACCATTTTACATTCTCATTGCCAAGATATGAGGATTCCAATTTTTTCACATGCTCTCTAACATTAGGTATGGTCAGTATTTTTAATTTTTAGCCTTCTGGTAGATATACAGTGATATTTCAATGTAGTTTTAATTTGCATTTTGCTCATTACTGATTTTGAGCATCTCTTTGCATGCATATTTGCTATCCACATATTTTTTGAGTGGTGTGTCTATTCATAGTTTTTCCAACTTTTTAGTAGTTTGTCATCTTGAGTTTTGGAGATTCTTCATACATTATGAATGCAGTTCTTTTAGCAAATATGTATTTTCTCCTTGTCATTTTTGAGTTTTCTAGCTCTTAAGGTGAAAAATAAGGTCATTTGTTTGAGGCCTTTTGTCTTTTCCTAATATACACATTGTAGTGTTATAAGTTTTCCTCTGTAATTTTTTTATTATCCCACAATTTAGGTACATATCTTCATTCATTTCAAAATAACTTCTGATATGTTTTTATTTTTTTCTTTGACACAACAGTTTATAAATGTTTTATTTTTTCTTATAATATTGGGGATTTTCTCGGTATCTTAATTTTATGAATTAAAATTTTTATTCCACCATAGTTAACCTATTTATATGAGTTGAATTTCTTATATTTTTTGAAACTTGTCTTAGCACCCTGAATGTGGTTTATCTTAGTAAAAGTTCTGTATATGCTTGAAAAAATATGTACTCTGCTATTTTTGAGTGTTCTATAAGTAATAAATATTAGTTAATAGATATTCAAATCTCACATGCTTACTGATTATTTTTTATGTCTTTATTATTTATTATGTCTTTCAACTGTTGAGAGAAAAATATTGAATTCTCTGGCTATAATTGTTAATTTGCGTATTTCTTCTCAAATTCTATCCATTTTTATTTGATTTTTTTACTTTTAAAAATTTTTAAACAGTTTTTATTTTATTATACATGTGTGCAGTACATAATGATTACATTCATTGTGGGGAGTTGCTGCAGGTTCGTGACACATGTTGATTCCTTTTTCCATGCCTTTCCTCTCCCCTCCCTCTTCCTTCTCTATCTCTTCATCCTCTTCCCGTTTGAGAAAGATCTGTCACTCTCCTTCATATTATTTATCTTTAGACATTGAGTGTTTATTTATACATTGGGTTTCTCATATAAGTACTTTGAGTACTTAAGTACGGTGTAATGATGATACTTGAGCTTGTGTGTCTGATTTACTACACTTCACATTGTAGTCTCAAGGTGCATCTACTTTTCTAGAAGCGATTCAGATTTATCTTTTTTATTGCAGAGTATTACTCTGTTGCGCACACATTCCACATTTTATCTATCCATCTGTTCATGGACATATAGGGTGCTTCCAAGATTTAGCTATTACGAGTTGTGCTGCTATAAATATGGGTATGCACACATCACTGTGGTATGATGTCTTTAACTGTTTTGGGAAGACAACTAGAAGTCCCCTAATCCTAGCTGGGTTGAATGGAATTTCTATTTCAGGTTTTTGAGGAATTTCCATAGTGATTTCTATGGTGGTTAGCAACAATTTAGAAAGATTCCTTTTTCTCGGAGCCTTGTCAACATTTTTTTTTAAAGAGAAAAGAACAAAAACAAATGACAAAACAAAACAAAAACAGTAAAACAATACAGAATTTCAAAACAAGATAGGAAATCAACAATAGTTGTTGTATTACTTGTAGTTATCTTCAAAGTAGTTGTTCAGATTACTAGATACAGGTATGCAAGATTGATCAAACAAGTAAACATTAACTGTTCCTTTCAATAAACCAATAGAGATTGGTGGTATAATATATATTTTTTCCCCTTCCGTCTTTCTTTTCTCCTTTCCCTTATCCCAGTTGTTCTTTCCTACTGAGCAGTTTCTTTCTCTTTCACAATATCTATTGTACCTTTCAGATTTTATTTACTGTTTCAGGTTCTTACACTAGGGAGACAATATGGTGTTTACACCTGCAGGTCTAATTTATTTCACTTATGAGTATGGTCTCTGGTTGCATCCATTTACCTATAAAAGCCTCAAGTTTATCTTTTTAATAGCTAAATAATACTCCATTGTATAAAAATATGACATCTTTTTTATCCATTCCTCAGTTGATGGGCATTTGGGTTGTTTCCAAGATTTAGCTATGACAAATTGTGCTGCTATAAACATGGGTGCACATACATTGCTGTGGTGTGGTATTTTTAATTCTTCTGGGAAAATACCCAGAAGGGGAATAGCTAGGTTAAGTGGAAGTTAGTTCTAGTTAGAACTAGTTCTTAGTTAGTTCTTAGTTAGTTCTAGTTAGAACTAGTCCTTAGTTCTGCAAGGAATCTCCACACTGATTTCCACAGTGGTTTCACCAGTCTACACTCCCACCAGCAGTGGAGTAGGGTTCCTTTTTCCCCAACCCCCCCCCCAGCATTTGTTATTGGTTGATTTCTTAATGATAGCCATTCTTTTTGGGGTGAGATGGAATCTCAGTGTTGTTGTAATTTATATTTCTCTAATGGCCAGCGTTGTTGACATTTTTTCATGTATTTATTGCCCATTTGTGCTTCTTCTGAGAAGTGTTTATTCATTTAGTTCCCTATGTTTTGATTAGTTCTTTTATTTTGAGAGATATCTAATTTTAATTCTTTGTATATTCTAGGTATTGGTCCTCTAAGGTGTAATAGGCAAATTTTTTTCCCATTCTGTAGGTTGTTTCTTCACTGTCAGTTGTTTCCTTTGCCGTGTAAAAGCTTTTTAATTTGATACAGTCTCATTTGCTGATTCTTGATGTTATTTCTTGTTCAATTGAGGTTCAATGCAGGAAGTCATTGCCTATGCCTATGTGAGTTTTACCTGTGTTATCTTCCAGCAGAATGTTTCTGTTGTAATATTTAGATCCCTCTCTACTTTTGTCATAGGTATCACTTCTCAATTTTGATTGATTTCCCCCTCATTTTGTGTCACACTAGCCTGCTTCTTTGCATGCCTTGTAATATTTTTATAGGTTCTGGAAATCTTGAATTTTACCTTGTTAGGTACTAGTAAACTTTGTTCTACTAAGCTTAGATTTCTTGGACATAACTTGTTCCTGTGCATCTTGTAAGCTTAGTTAGGTCTGACCTACACAATCTTTGAGGTGATTTTGCCCCTTTACATAGGAAAAACACTTCTGTTTACAGTATCAAACTCAAGGCCACATTAATTAGCAGATTTTTGTGACATGAGCTATAGGAACACACATACACTGCCTAGTCTTGAGAGCTATAGGAATTATATTATGCCCTCAACTGGTTTTTCTCTAACCTCTGAGTTTCCTGACAGGCAAACATTGCTCAGTGTCCAGTTGAGTATTGAGGGGAACCCTTTGCGGGTTTTCAGATTCTCTCTTTGTAACTCTTTTCACTCAGGCACTTTGTGCAGTGCACTGTAGTTTCCTTGGATTCTCCAGAATGCTTGCTCTGTTGGTCCCCTCAGGGAGACCACTGGCCTTTGCTTGCATTACCCCAGCCTTCTATGCTCTGTTAACTTTCTCTAGGTAGTAAATTGGGGCAGTTGTAAAGTTTCTCTCTTAGGGATCATTATTATTCATTGTCTGGTGCCTAATATCTTGAAAACTGTTGTTTCATGTATTTTGTCTGGTTGTTTGAGCCATTTGGGTTAATGGATAAATCTAGTTCTAGTTTCATCTTGGCTAGATATGAAAGCAGCATTATGGATTTAAGTGGACCATGTTTAAGTATGCTGTACCTTGTTTTAGCTATTTCTGATTATTTGACATTTAGGTTCTTTCTAAGCTTTTGATATGCTCTATTATCATTTGTAGTATATATCTTAAGGCATATGCATTTTTTTAGTTGAATAAATTGCAAGTAATGGAATTACTAGATTGAGGGTATAATACTTCGTATGATTATTGATGAGAATTCCAAATGATTGATACCGAACAATATAAAGGTGTCAATTTCAACATAATATTGACAGTGTTGTATCCTTCATTTAAACTTTGTGTAATCATTACTAAATATAAAGTGACATATCAAGCTTGCTATGTTTTTTTTTTATATTTAGATTTTTAAGTGGGATGAATGTTTCTAGGTTTGGTTTTATGTAACTTTTTACAGAATTTTCTGGTACTTTTACAGAATCATGAGGAAAAATTTCAGAGTTTACCATTCCTTTTCACATCTACTGTATTCTTTCTTTAAAGAACACAGAACAAATTGTTAATTAATGAACTTTTTTCAATGCAGGGGATTAAACCCAGGGCTTGTGCATTATAGTTGAGGACTTTACCACTGAGCTATATACTCAGCCCTAATTAATGATTATTTTTATATGTGTAGAACTGGGAATTGAACCTGGGGCCTTTGTACTGAACTTGAAACAGTGTCCTGCTAAGTCACTAAATTGTGCAGGCTGGGATCACACTTGTGTTCCTCCTGCTTCAGGGTTCCAGAATGCTGGGATTACAGGCATATGCCACCGTACCTGGATAGTTAATGATTTTTTAAAAAGCTATAATAAAGTTCAAATTCCATAACCCATGAAAAAGAAATTAAACTATACAAAAATAATAAACTTTTACACTAGAGAAAAGCATTATACCATAGACAAATGACAAAATGGGGAAAATATTTCCATTTTATATCTCTGACAAAGCTGATTTCTTTTTTCTTTTTTTGTCTTTTTGAGACAGGGTCTTGCTATGAAGTTCAGACTGGCCTTGAGCCATTTTGTAGCCAGCTGGTCTCGAACTTGCAACAATCCTCCTGCCTCAGCCTCTCAAGTGCTGGGATTACAGGCATGTGCCACCATGCCGAGCTTGATTTCTTTAATATATATAAAGAGCTTTTAGAAATTAAAAAGGGAAAAATAATTCAAAATATAGGAAAATAGTCAAAAAAGAAATAACAATGTTCCTTTAAACACAAAAAGTGCACAACTCAATATAAAAAAGAAATGTAATTTAAACTTGTATGAGATACAATTTTTCAACAACCAGGTTGGCAAAAGTCCAGAATTTTGGCTCTGTTGGGGAGGTTATGAGGAATGTAGTAATACTATTTGTGGGTTACTAAATTGTAACCATTAGTATGAAGGAAGTTTGATAATACCTTTTAAAAGGTAATTGCATTTGCCCTTTGATAGAGCAAGTCAGCTGTTGGGAAATTAATTCATAGTTATTCCTGAATCTATATAATGTGACATTGTAACTTTTTTTGCAATAGCAAAAGATTGGAAAAATGAAAGAGTCTATGAGTAGAACATCCTCACGGAATTGTGTGTAGAAAATGAGGAGGCTCTTTATGTATGTTTTGGAATGGTATATAGATAAATGAGAAAAGTGATTTACTGAACAGTGTTTATTGTATGCTACCTTGTGTGTAAGAAAGGGTTAAAAATAAAAGCATTTTGGCCTTGCTTTATGTATGTGAAAAAATACACTGTCAGTTTAGGAAATGAATAAAAATGGTTACATTTGGGAAGACAGAAATGAAGTGAACAGGGATGGAGTATGAGTGAGACTTCTTAGTCTGTTCAGTTGATATCAATTTGATTTTTTAAATTAATTAATTTTATTGGTACATTTTAGATATACATAGTGATCACATTCATCATAGGGAATTTGTACCTGTACATGTATATCTTGCTTCTTTTTTCCCATTATCCTCTGCTCCCTTTTACCCCTCTTCCCTTCATTTACAGAAACTTTGTTTCTACTTTTTCCTTCTTTTTCTGTTTCTTCTTTTCATTTCCTTACTTTCCCCTTCACCACCTGCCTAGTTGCCCTCCCATTTGAACATTTCTTCCTATTTCACATTATCTATTATACATTTTGGTCCTTATTTACACTTTCAGTTTCTCACACCAGAGAAACCATGTGATATTTACATGTGTGTCCAGTTTATTTCACTTAAGAGAGTATGGTCTCAAGGTGCATCCATTTACCTAGAAATGTCTCAAGTTTAATGTAAAACATTGATTTGGTAACCACCTAATATGTTCTGGGTAGGATGACTTAACATCTAGTTTAATGGCCATTAAAATACATTTCCTCTCTCTAGAAAAGAGCACTGCGTTAAGGGATGGACTTCTGGTGTTCTTCTGCTTGGTTGTTCCGCTTATTGTATTTGCTACTTTTTTCTTCAAGAGAAATGAACTACGGAAAACCTTCTTCAGAAAGAAGAGATCACAAACACATGAGTACTTAGATTTTGGCTTTTTAATTTCTATTAAGTAATATGAAGCAATTATTGATGATGATAGTCCTATCATAGGTGTTGTAAGTCTTTTAAAAGTCGGGTTCTAAGCCATCTCTCTGTTCTTTCGCTGTGATAGTAATGGGTTTAAAGGGTGGCGAGGATTGTGCTGTATGCTGTGGACAGTGCTCTTTCAGCTCCTTTTGCTTATCACTGATTTGTGAGAGTGGGTAAGTAGAATTGCAGGATGTGATATCTGCTTCCTAATTAGAGATTAAAATATGGGATAAAAATAAAACCTGCAAATGTTGAAAATTTTTCTTCTGTGTGTTTATTGCATGTTTCAGTTCTCACAGAGGAAGACTTTAATTTCAGTTTTGAAAACAAACTTTAAAAAAATAAATTTTAGTAGAAAAATATTAAGCATGTCATAATTCTGACACCTGACGTTGCTAGTCTGTGTTGGGCTCTCATAAAACTCTGTCAGTAATCACTTCTAATGTGTTGGCATCCAAATGTAGTATCTACTAGCATGGAGCTTGTAATCAGATCTGGGTTTAAGTTTTAGGTTTCTTCTTTGGCAGAATTATGAGCGCAACTATAAAGCTCTCTGAGCCTTAGCTTATTTTCTATAAAATGGGAATGTTAATATTACCTTTCTCACAGTGTTTTTGAAACATTAAAGAAAAGGATTAAATGAGGAAATACTAGCAAATAAAGCCCACAACACTCTGTGGGTTCATTGTAATTATTTAATGATTAGTTATTGTGATCATGACTTCCAAATACCCCTCACTAATTTTGATTGCTCATCTTTGCTTCATTGCTGCTTGTCACCTCTTTACATAATAATTTTCTAGAGTATCTTGATGTTTGCTTTAATCTTTAGTATTTTCTAAACAAATTCATCATCCTACCCTTTCTTTCTCTTACTTCCTGTCACAGTTCTGACTGACCAGTTTATGCAGACAGTGCCAAATCTTTCCCTAGATGATGCTGGCACCTCAGTGTCTACCATTCAGCTGATGTCTTTCTAAGCAACCTATTTTATACCCTTGTACTCCTAATTTTTTAGTGATTACTTCAGATAATGTATGCGTAGTCTAAAAATATTTTTTTAACTCTTCTGTGATTATAGAAGATTTGAGAAGAAGAATTAGGGTATGTGGGCCTAATTGATCAAATTACATAATTTCATAGATTTTTCAGCTATTTAGCTATAAAATGTGGTTAATAATACTTTTTAGTATAGTAAGAATTAATCGTGTGTGGAAGCTGTTAAAAATGCCTGAAGACTTCAGCTTTCCTGGTAGGCATTTTCACTACCATTATTATTTTATATTAGGAAAAGGAAAGATATATGTGATCTGTAATTTGGAAGTGTTTTAATCTTACTTTAGCTCAAAAGTAATTATGTATCTTTCAGGTCAGATGGCAAAAGTCAAGCAAGTGTTTCTAGACAGCCAATGAATGCTCCTCGACAGCCGGTAGGTGCTCCTAGACAGCCTGTGAATGCTCCTCGACAGCCGATGGGTGCTCCTAGACAGCCAGTGGGTGCTCCTAGACAGCTGGTGAGTGCTCCTTGACGTATTTCTCCAGTAAGTCCTCCTACAGAAATCATAAGCTTAAAATGAAAAATTATTTTCTTTACTATGTTAAAGTATTGCATGTTGGAAAATTTTAAAAAGAACTGGGTTGTTGCTTGGTGATGGAGTGCTTGCCTAACGTGCACCAGGCTCTGAGTTCAACCTCTCGCACTAGAAAAAAAAGAAGGGGTTACATAGAATTAATGTGAACTATAGGTACTTTTTAAAAATAATTTGAGGGTATTGTAGGTGGTCCTTGAGTTAAAGGAATACCAGTAAGGTCCCTGGCTCAGAGGATCAGGACTTTAAGAATGCTTTGCCTTGAAACCAAGACTGGGAAGTGACCTGGGAAGGAGGCTATCAGTAGTTTTTTCCCTCTGCTTGCTGTCTTTCTGTGTTCAAAACCTGGCTTCCCTAGGGCATGTTACCAAGACCTGGTACTGAGCTCCTCAAAGGCCTGATTGCCTCACCAGTTGTGTTCCAGTTGAGTGGGCCTGAAGTAATATGTATCACAAGGGTAGATTTGCCAAGCGTACACCTTGTAATATGTAGTAAGTAGCTATGTTTATTGAAGATCATGGAATGGTAGAGGCAGGAACAGGCAGAAGAGAAAAGGAAAAAGAGGGCCCTCGGTTAACTCAGGCTTCCAGGATTTAAAGAGTCAGGCATCTGTGATTCTAGGTACCTCCTACTGCTTCCTCACTGGTGTCAGTGGTCTGCTGCCTCAGACACTGGGACCTCCTAAGCTTTGGTTACTGTATTTTGTACCTCTTTTAGGACAGTGCAATTGTGGGTAATCATGAAGGTGGTGTTTACAGCTGAATGGAGGAGAAGCGAGTGGCTCACTTGGCTTCTCTGTTTCTGACTACTGTAGGATTAATATTGTTAAGATGCTCATACTTCCAAAGCAGTCTGCAGATTCATTTCAATCCCTATCAAAATTCTAGTAATAGGAGTTTAAGTAAACCCATGCACCTACTGTTAATTCTTCCAATTCATGAACATGGGATTTTTTCACATTTATTTGCATCTTCTTCAATTTTTTTTCATCAATGTTTTGTAGTTTTCACTGTACAGATCTTTTTCCTTTTTGGTGAAATTCATCTCAAGTATTTTATTTTGTTTTTTTTTTTTTTTTTAATTTTAAGGATAAAAGGAGGGAAACATTAACAGACATACAACATTTTACAACATATCCCAAGCACAATACAGACAATACAGAGTTACAAACAAAGTGGTAGGGAATTAACAATGGTGGTTGTATTACATATTGATATCTTCAAAGTGGCTTCAAGTATTTTATTTTGGATGTTATTCTGAATAAATTGTGTTTAAAATATTTTTTCAGAAAGTTATTCGTGTATAAAAATGTTAATGATTTTAATGTTGATTTTTGTCTCACAGCTTTTCTGAATTATTTATTTCTATCAGATATTTTGGTAGAATCTTCAGAGTTTTCTGAATTTAAAAACATGTCATCTACAAATAGACAGTTTTACTACTTTGTTTTTTGGATACTGTTTATTATTTAAGTTCATTCCTTCCAAATCTGCTTGTTGAGAGTTATTATTATGAAAATATGTTGAAATTTGCCAGTTCATTTTGCTTTTTAAGTATCTCTTTGAGGTGGTCATATGATTGTTGTCCATATTCTGTTAATATGGTATATGACATTTATTGATTTGTGTATATTCAGCCATCCTTACAAGCTCAAGGATGTCTCACTTACTTGTTCATGGTGAGATATCTCTCTACTGTTAATCAAGGATAAGGGCCTCTAATTTTCCTTTCTTACAGTGTCCGTATCTGTCTTTGGTACCAGAGTAATACTGTACTGACCTCATTAAGTGAGTCTGAAAGTATTTTCATCAATTTTTAAAAGTTTGAGAAACTTGCTATTAGCTCGTTTTGAAGGGTTTGCTAGAAATCAACTTTAAAGCTCCTAAGTCTTGAGAATTCTTTCTTGATGGAAGATTTTACGTTGCTGATTTCAAATCTCCTTACTTGTTATTGGTCTGTTCAGATCATCTATTTCTTCATGATTCAGTCTTGATAGTTAGTTATATGATTCTAGGAATTTATCCTTCTTTTCTGTTTCCAGTGTGTTGCCTATACTTGTTCAGAATAGTCCCTTATGACCTTTTCTAACATTGAACTAGCAATTGTAATATCTTTATTTCATTTCTGAGCTTACTTGTCTTTCTTTTTTCTCAGTCTGTGTGATAATATTTACCCTTTTTTTTAAAAAAAAGCCCAGCTCTAATTTTCTTTGATTTGTTTTTTAATTTTTCATTTATTGTTTCTTGGATCTTCATTACTTGCTTCTTTCTGCTAACTTTGGCTTAGTTTTTCTTATTTTCCTGGCTTTTGAGGTAAAACATTAGAGTATCCAATATTTTTCTTCTTTTTAAGCATAAGTATTTATTACTGTAAATGGGCTATAAGTATCTCTTTCTTAGAACACCCTTTCTGGAACCCAATACTTTTTGTTATTTTGTGTTTTTGTTTTTGTTTGTCTCAAGATATGTGTATACATATATCCTTTTTGATTTGTTCTTCACTCAGTGGTTGTTCAGAAGCATATTGTTTAATTTGCATACATTTGTGAACTACTATTTAAATTGCATGCATTTGTGAACTTTTTTTTCCTTTTGCATTGATTTATATTTATACCATTGTGGTCAAGATTCTTGATAAGATTTCTTTTTTTCTTTTTCTTTTTTGAGTGCCTGGAGTCAATCTCAGGACCTTACACTTGCCAGGCAAGCACTGTGTCAATGAGCTATATCCCTGACCCCAATAAGATTTCAGTATTCCTAAATTTGTTAAGACTTGTAACATATTTTGATTCTTATTTCAGTTTTTTTTTGGTTTTTCTCGGTACCGGGAACCGAACTCACGACCTTGCGCTTGCCAGGCAGGCGCTTTTGCCACTGAGCTAAATCCCCAGCCCCCTCTTATTTCAGTTTTTGTACATTCTCTGGATATACTTTCTGATTACCATTGCATTACATCAGATATGTTAAAAGTTATAATAGCCTACTTTAAATTGATGATAACTTTTGTGGTGCCAGAGATCAAATCTAGGGTCTTGAATATGCTAGGCAAGCATTCTGTCCCTAAGCTACATCGATAGCCTATTTAAGCAAATGTCTTGGTTACTTTTTTTCTTGCTGCTGGAACAAAATACCTGACGCCCAAAATTAAGGAAGGAAAGGTTTATTTCGCTTACAGTTTGTGGAGGTTTCAGTCCGTACTTGGCAGATTATAAGGCAGAGTGGCACATGGCAGAGAGCTACAGCTCAGGGCAGCAGAACACAGCAAAGCAACAAGCACACGCCAGAGCTGAATGGGGGAGGAATGGCCTCAAGCACCCTTTTCCTCTCCCTTACATATGTAAACTACCCACCCCAGGGTGGGTGTAGCTCTCAAACCCATAATCAAACTCTAAAAGCCTGCCCCATGGCCGCATGAGGCTTTGGGGGGGGACACACAGACATAAACCATAACAGCAAAATATATTAAAATGTCAGAATTATAAATAATATGTTAATTTAAGTATATTCATTATACATAAAACATATTTATGGTTATATTGTAATACACTCTTTTTTTCCTTTTAGCCTGTACATGCAAACAGATTTCCAGTACCAACCTATGCAGCCAAGCAGCCTCAGCAGTTTCCATCAAGGTCTGAAGTGAATTTATTGATTGATTTATTGATTGATTGATTGAAGTCTGAAGTGAATTGATTGATTGATTGATTGATTGATTGAACCAGGAACTGTACTCAGGACCTTGTGCTTGCCAGGCAGGCACTTGTGCTGCTGAGCTATATCCCCCGCTCTGAAGTGAATTTATTTAGATTACTTGACTAGAATAAAGTCCATGCTTAATGCCTTATTTATTTATTCTTTTTTTGGCTTTTTTTTTTTTTTCCAGTACCGGGAATTGAACTCACGACCTTGTGCTTGCCAGGCAGGTGCTGTGCCACTGAGCTAAATCCCCAGCCCTTAATGCCTTATAGTTTCTTTTATTTTTAATTTAACTTAAGGCAAAGTATTTAGGCAATTTAATTTAGGACAAGTTTAGAAAATCACAATTTATAGAAAGATTTTGAAAGAACCTTTATATGAATTTCATCATTTTAGTGCAATGTTGAAAAGAAATTTTGTTTAAAAAGAAGCCTGAGAAAAACTTAAAATGAACTATTGCTCAAGAATTGGTGTGTATACAATTCAGAAGCAAAGACCTTTAGAGTAACTACCAACAGGAAACAAGACAGCGCAGACAAGTCTTCCTGTCGAGATCAGCCAGAAGAGCCTGGCAGTATAAGAAAACATGAGTTTGATGCATAGGAGACCACAGAGATGAGAAATTGGTGGGGACAAAGTTCTGGTGCAGAAGGAAGTCGAGAAGTAATTCCAGCTTTGAGTACCACATTTTCTTTTCTGGATATATCTACTTATTCTGAAGGTGATAAATGAGAAGCTAGGAAGTGGAAGAGAGCTCCACTCAATAAACTCACGGGGTAGTGGGGATAAGAACTGGAGTCTTAGCTGGAGGGACATACCCTGGCCAACATCTGAGGCTTCGTTTTGGGACCCAGGGTTCAAGGTGAACCATAACCAAAGTTGGGTTCTTGTTTTTAATATTTGGCCCCCAATCAAAAAAGCCAGGCATGCAAGAAAAGAACATTAGGGGCTGGGGATTTAGCTCAGCGGCAAAGCGCCTGCCTGGCAAGCACAAGGTCGTGAGTTCAGTTCCCAGTACCGGAGAAAAACCAAAGAAAAGAACGTTATTAAAACCAAGAATCAGTGGACCATAAAAACATGCTCGGAATGTATCTAGTTAATAGTCACCTGACATAGACTTTAAAATAATCACAATAATTATGTCATGGAATTAATAGTCAAATTTGAGAATTTCAGGACAGAACTAGAGACTTTTAAAAAAGAATGCAAATTCTACAATTTATTTTGTGTGTGTGTGTGTGTTTTGGAAATTCTACAATTTAAAAACACAAGAATTGAAATTAAAGACTATAAATGGCCTTACAATCAGCAGGAAAGGAACAAATTGATTACTGCATTTTACATCATATAAAATGCATCTGACCCTTGTCCTCCCAACAAGCCCTTACAATTCCAGTTGCATTGCAGCACTGAGTGTCCTGATATGTAGTCTTCATTGTTCAGTATGAACACACTGAAGTCAACTGAGGATGAAGAGAAGAATCTATAAATTGCAGGACATGTATTTAGCAGGTGATGTTCTAGTGTGCTGTAAGACTAGAGGGACACTAAGATTGGATTTGGTACACAGATTAAGGAAGGGTGCCCAGGAATGAGGGTGAAGATGGCTAAGCACAGTTATAGTAGCAAGGTTAACTCTCAGAGTGGGTATCATTTAAGGAGCTGGAATTTTAGCTCTCTGTATGTAAATATAGGGCTAGTTTACACTTAGCAATAATTTGTTGCCCATAAATTCTAACACTCAAGAAATTGCTTCATCCACTTAATTCCTCCCTCATTTGTCTTTCATAATTGGACTTGAGAATTTCTTGAGTTAACTCTTTTTGAAAACATAAGCTAGCATCTTCATACATGATTGATTGTGGAGTGACAATGTAAGGTAGGTAATTATTGCATTTTAAATTCTCATTGGAATCCTTTAACCATTGACTGTCATATTGACATTCATAATCTCAGAATATAAAGTGCGCTTACCTGTTTTCCTAAAGGCTGAGAATGGTGTTACGTTGAGCATGTTATGAATGCAGCATTATTTCAGTTAGTGAGCATACACACTGTTGACTCTTTTTTCACCCCCACAGGCCACCTCCACCACAACCGAAAGTGTCATCTCAGGGAAATTTAATTCCTGCTCGTCCTGCTCCAGCACCTCCTTTGTATAGTTCCCTTACTTGATTTTATACACATCTTCTCGCATATGTCTTCAGGGAACTGAGCGAATGTTTTACCGCCTGGTATTTTCTTGAGAAGTCTTTCTTCCTATTGCAATTATGAATGGAAACAAATTCCACTAAACAAACAAACAGAGGGCAGTGTTGACTGCATTTCCAGCATTGAAATGTCTTATTTGGTCATCTGTGAGGTTAACGTACTTAACATGGATTATGTTATTTTGAACATGTTATAGCAGTGATTCTCGAATTAACTGCATTGGTGTTAGATTTGTTATTATGTGCTTAAACGTAGTCCTGAATTTTTGACCTTGGTTATCATTAATGTAGTTTGTGATCAAATGTGATAATCTGATACCTTTGAAAACTAATTACCTGCCATTAATATCTAATATTTTTCATCTTGCACAGACTAATAACCATTGTACACTAAAATCTTATTTCTCATTCATGACATGAATAAACAGATATTCTGTTTTTGGGAAAATACACAAAAACCATGATTAAGATGCCATAATATTGTTTTGAAAATACAAAATATGCTAAAGGAGTGTATGTTTATTCACACACTCACTAGCTTCCATTTTTATGATCCTTCACTATGTGACTTAGAAAAATTAATTTAATATTAGATTTCTATTACGCATCATGTTAAAGCATGGCATCCTTTTACAATAGCATTATTTTAAATAAAATATAAGCTTTAAGGTACGAGGTATTTAATAGATCTAATCAGATATGCTGTTGACTCATGGCTATAATAAAGGAATAATTGTAATGAATCATTTGAGCTATTATAAAACCACTTAAAAATTTATGAGCACTTTAAGTCTAAAATCTGAATTTTTGAAGCTTGATATTAAATCTCTGAGAATGTTTACATTTACTAAGGTGTGCTGGATCATGTCTCTTTTTGACTCTAATATTTTCCTAGAAATTAGGCTGGAAAAAAGAAGGAAGAAAAGGTTTTCTTAGATAAATGCAAAAGTTAATGTGGTGTCTGTGAATTATTATCTTAGCTATGTAAAAAATAAATTTTTACTATGGATGAAATGGTATGGTCAATAAAATTTTGAACAAAAATTTTCACAACCTTTCATAATAAAGTTTAATAATAGGTTTATTAACTGAATTTCATTAGCAATTTTTTTGGTTTGCATATATAACATTTACAATAAATGAAGTACTTGAAATTCTCTTTTGTTGTCCCCCAGTGACTTCCTACTCAATTATTCATAAACTTATGATTTAAAAAACATGATTTTAGATAAAATCTTAAGCTTGCCAAATATGCACAGTGGCTTTGTTATTAAAGGAAAAGAAATTTGTTTTGAAGAAGATGGAAATTTTAGTTCTTTGAAGATAGCACATTATTTTAAGTTACATATTAAAAATTGTGATCTCTCCTAAATGAATGGCCTTTATTTCCCTGTAAATCTCTGAATGACTTTATATAAAACATCTGTGCCTTTCTGTTCATAGAGCCTCAAATTTTGTTATTGTAATGCATATCACTTAACATTTGCAGTAACTAGAATTTACACTGATTTTGAACTTACATAATTCTTTGAATCTTCGATTAGTTTGTCTAAAAAACTGATCAGAACTTTTGCTTTAAAATATTTTCCACATATTTTGTATGCTTTTCACTTAGGTTTTGTCCCTAGGTTATACTGGAGTGTGGTGAAAAATCTCAGCATTTCTGGTCATGAGTGCATTTTAGTCTGTAGAGTCTGTAGCCCTCTGCTTGGCCAACTGAGCTACCAAAGGATGCACATGAATGCCACCACAAATAAGAAAAGTTAAAGGACTTTCTGGCCATTTACTAAAGGAGTTATAATCAATGATAAATTATATATCATTGTGGCTGAATATATGTTCACAGATTGACCTTTTTCAGGTTATTGCATTTTTTCTTGACTGTGTAGGTCTGTAAGTCTGGAGTTAAACATAATCCAGGTTTTTAAAGTAGATGACATATTTTACTAAACTTCATAAATTAGTGGAAGCTGTACCACCTGGCAGGTACTCTCTTAGGTACTGTGATATGTTATGCTGTGCATGGGACGTATTTCCTGCCCTTTGAACGTATAAATCCATTATGGAGAGGGCCACACGCACAAGAAAGAATGGTACAAAATCTGTTCTGTTAAAGATACTAATAGGCAGGGCTGAGGAGACTGAAAGAAGAATGAAATAAAAGGTACTGCAAATTCACTGAAAAAACAGCACGAACACGTTCTCAGCATTTGTTGCAATTGCTCTAACTGCTGTGAGCAAGGTGAAAACAGCTTTGGCTAGCCTGCCTAATGTGGTGCTAGTCTAGCTTTGGCAGATGGGATACAAGCTAAGTGTGTTTCCTGGTGCCTGTTTTGACACACGCAGTTCTCTTTTTCAGGGTTAGTGCCCTGTTGAAATCCCAGGCATCTGTAAAGTCCCATCTCAGCTGTCATTTTAAGTGTGGTGATTCCCCTACTGCGCATTTCCATGGGGCTATTTAGGTTGTGTGTCTGCCTATCCATAATTAGTATGAGGAAACAGCTCATTCCCCGGGATCTGAAAAGAATTAAAAGTCAATGCCCGCGGATGGAGACGGCGAGCCCGGGAGGCAGGGGTCTGCGGTCCGGCCGGCGCGGCGACCTTAGGAAAGCGCTCAGGGGAACGAGGAGGCCCGAGGCCCCGCTCCAGGCGCGCGGACTGGATCTCCTGCCGGAGCGGAGGCGGACGCGGTAATTACGTCAGGACTCAGCTCCGGACCACACGGACAGCGCGTCAGTTTTAGCCAAAGGCCTGGGGAGACGACGAGCACCGCGTGGCGGAGTCGCCCGGCGCGCGGGGCGGACGGCGGCAGGGGCGCTCTCCGCGGCGGGCT